TTGTGGTCCGATATCCCATCGAGAATTTCTACACTGTGTTTGTCACTTGGAAAATGGTCGCTTAAGAATACCAGGTCAAGTATATTGGAGCTCTCCGCCTGCACCCGTGTTGGCTCCATTATTATCTGATTGAGGTTAAAAGATAGCATTGCATCAAAAAGGGTTTCTGAGTTTAAGCACTCGTGCTGCATGGTCCGCCAGTTTATGTCGGGCAGATTAAAGTCCCCCAAAAGGATTAGTCTCTTGCCTTTCACATTGCGCTGCATGTATGCGTGCAGTGATTGCATAGCGATATGGTCTGACCCTGGACTGCGATAAACACAACCAACTACGATTGAAAATGAGCCGCACAATAAATTGCAGAACACCGCTTCAGCACCCTCAACAACAGGCATCTGTGTGAATCGAATACGTTTGTTAATAAGAATGGCAACTCCACCACCGCGTGTTGCTCGGTCCTTTCTCACAATGCAGTAGCTTGGAGGTGCTAATTCGGCGTCTCTAATCTCGTTTGAAAGCCACGTTTCCGTCACAGCCAAGAAGTCACGGTAGACAGTAAGAAGTACTGATTCTAGCGAGTCGAGTTTGTTCAGTATGCTGCGTGCATTCACATTGACAAAAACTATTTTGGACGTGGTTGATGGCGGCGAGTGCGCATGGGTGGTGTTCCTTCTTGGTTTTTTGGGGTTTTTTTTATTGGAGGGAGCATTGCGTTCTGTTTTGATCTCAACCTTATCGCCCGCGGTATCATCCCAGCGGTAAAGTACTCGATTGATACTAATCTTGTCGTATACCAACCATACTTTGTCACCAGATTCTTTGTTAGATTTGGCGCTATCCCACAGCTTTTTCCTTATGCTACGAACACTAGCTGAAAAGTCTTCACTAATCGCTAGTTTAGTTCCTTTGAGCTTCTGGCAGTTTTTTAGGATTTTGATTTTGTCACGCGTGTCGAGAAGTTTTAAAATAACTGGCCTGGTTTTATTAGCGTCTGGCTTTCCGAGCCTGTGAATTCTTTCGATTGCTACAGGCTCTAGATCCAGTGTTTTCTTAATAATCGTGTTGTTAACAGTTTGTTCGAGTGAGACATCATGCTCATCGTGCTTTTCGGGAATGCCGTACACAATCAGGTTCCCTCTTCTAGAACGATTTTCCAGGTCGTCAAGCTTTAGTTCAAGGTCTGAAACTACTTTTTGCAGGTGCGTTACTTGATCCGTGCAGATCTCTTCTTCAGGATACTAATTTAATTCCTCATTTTGGGGCATTCTTTTGATGTTGCGTCGTGGGCGCCTGAGCAGTTTGGGCATTTAACCACAACATTGCAGTTATCACCATCATGAAGGCCACCGCAATGCTTGCAGGTTACTGCACCCTTGCAAACTGCACTAGCGTGCCCAAATTTCATGCATTTAGGACATTGCAGAGGTTTTGGTACGTAAGGACGTACCGAGTGCCTCACGTGCCCAACTTTTACATGTGTGGGTAACGTCTTCGACTGAAACACTACTTTAACACATCGCGTGCGTCCAAAGCGGTGGAGGCCAAGCACGGGAGCCGACGATGGCAGCAGTTTCTCGAGACTCGAGTCTGTTATCTCCTCACCCACATCGTATATAACTCCTGGCGTCGTTTCTTCGTCGTACGCGGAGAATGCGCGGACCGGAATGTTTCCTAATCGAACAATCGCTTTCAGCGTGTCCAATAAGGCCTTCGTAGTGACCTCCACGGACAGTATGTTCTTTCGGGTATTTATGCGTATTTCTACGACTTGCCCTGGAGCGATGAGCTCAAAGTACTTTGATAGGCTCTGCCTATTTAGAGAGTTCAAGATGTCTGTCTTCGATGTCGGCACATACCAAATGGTGTACGACCGCATGCTACTCGCTTTTGTGCTTGCCGGCCAGTCGGCGATGTCCGGCTGATTTTCCTCTTCAGGTGTCGGCTTGGTACGACCACGTAGTAGCTGTCCGAAGCCGTATCTTCAACGGAGGAGTCATCAGAATTGTCCACGTGGGCCACGCTTGGGCCGAGGTGAGAACTTGCGTCAGACGCACTATGATGAGGTCGGCCCGGTCCCGGTTGCTGAATGGAGTTTTGATCCCCCATTCTAAGAGGGAATGCCCCTCCGAGGTGTGTCGATTATTGAAAAATCTTGGCAAAAGAATTATGAAACTCACAGTGCTCGAAGCAGAGGCTCTTCTCTGTGACAACTTCTTCTGCACATAGTAGTCTATGGACATAGTAGTCTATGGGGTGACTCTTGTCGCGACGCGCGAGGTTGCCTAATTGAGCAGTTCCTTTTCTCTTCCGGCCCCTGTCTCCTGAATAGGAAAGAGCTTACATATTACAGCCTCGCTAACAATGCCTACTCCTTCATAGATATGAGCATTGCATCTACATCACTCCTACCTTTGCTCACATGAAAAACAATTAATAATTCTTACGGAAGTGACCATTTCTCAGTAGTCTTGAGTACACCAATATCATATGAATGTCCTTCACAGGTTCCCAAATGGCTCACCGAAAAAGCTGTTTGGGAACAGTTTCGAAAATTAAACATAGAGGCTAAGTGGACAACATCACAGCATTTCTAATTGACGTTGCCACCAAATGTATTCCTCAAATAAATGGACTATCTGGCAAACGACGTGTCCCTTAATGAAACAATGAGTGTCGAAAAGCGCGTAAAAAACAAAGTGTGGAGATTGCTCTGAGAATCACCGACGGCCGAGAATCTCAGAAATTTTAAGAATATAAAATCTCAGGGTAAGAGGAAGCGCATACAGGCAAGAAGGGAAAGCTGGAAATTTTTTTTTATCCGGTATCACAACATATACACATGAGGGTAGGGTGTGGAACAGGGGGAAAAGGGTGGAAGGAAAACATGCATATGCGCTCCCTGTGGTGGACGCACAAGGTGATAGCTTGGAAGACCAGGTAAATCACCTAGGAGCACACTTTGAGCAAGTTTCCAGCTCATCACACTACTCTCAAGATTTCCAACGGTATAAGACAAGAGTAGAGAATCAGAAACGAGATACCAAATGTGCAAAATACGGAGCATACAACGAACCTTTCTCCCTAGCTGCACTACAGCCTTATCTAAACTGCTGCAGCACTTCTGCTCCGGGGTCTGACCGTGTGATCTATAAAATTTCGAAGAACCTTCCTCTCGAAGCGAAAAAAAACCTTACTTTACCTTTACAATGCCATCTGGTTTGCCGGCGACATTCTCTCGGGCTGAAAACAGTGCATTGTTATTCCTAGTTTGAAAGAACGCAAGGATTCATCCCCTGTTGCGAGGTACAGGCCTATAGTACTGACAAGCTGTCTATGCAAACTATTTGAAAAGATCATAAATTGCCGACTCGAGCACTTCTTTTAAACTAACAGCCTACTTGATCCGTGATTTCGTGAAGGCAGATCCACAATTCACCACCTGGTACGTATCAAAGCACTGATATCAGTCTGATATGACTAGTCAGTAGTGACTATTCATATCATGACTTTTGATGTTATGACTAGTCAAATATGCTAGGCATACAATCATGTTATGATGTACCAAGTTTGGTATCGATACCATTATCGAAACAACCTCAAAAACACGAAGCCGTAGGCGGCTAGATAGATAGATAGATAGATAGATAGATAGATAGATAGATAGATAGATAGATAGATAGATAGATAGATAGATAGATAGACAGACAGATAGATAGACAGATAGATAGATAGATAGATAGATAGATAGATAGATAGATAGATAGATAGATAGATAGATAGATAGATAGATAGATAGATAGATAGATAGATAGATAGATAGATGCGCTCAGGCTCGCCGAAGTTCGCTGAGAAATGCTTCGCATTTCAAAATGAATACAGCAAGCGTGATTTGCGCCAATTGACACATGCTGTGGGTGAAAATGAAGCAAGCGACAACAAGTAAACGAAATCGCTCTTTCATGAAGTGAGGGCACAATTCTCAAAAGACATTCTCAAAATACAGACAGATGGACGGATGGACAGATGGGCGGACGGACGCGAGGACGTACAGACGGATGGACGCACAAACGGGCGGACAGATGGATGGGTGGACTCATGGACGGACGCATGGATGGACGCACGGATGGTCGCGTGGACGGACGGAAGCAAGAACGAACGGAAGGACGGAAGCAGGGATGGGCTGATGGACGTTTCGGCCCACTCATCATCATTCACTCCGCGCATATGCTGTGTTTTTTTTGTTTGTTTGATACGACCTCCATAAAACCAACAGAAAACAAGGAACGTGGACGTGTATGCTTAGTAGTAGTTATGATGCAGGTGGGAACAAAGTAAGCTTGCCGCATATGAGGACCGAATCGAAAATCGGTCCCTGCCGGCGGCAAGATCTCTCTCCGTTCACTTTACCTAGTTCCCGCCTCTCCTCTGTCAGAATTACCACCTTACACTTCAAACAGTATAGTTAGCGCTCCCTTTGCTTTCCTCGGCTTCATCATATTTAGGGCTTTATTATGCAAATGCGTGTGTTGTTTTAGATTTTACTCAAGTTTTATGCACGTACATAAATTTTACACAATGCGTGAGGGTAGAACACTATCTTGTTTTGCATGCGTGAGGGTAGAACACTATCTTGTGAGCCAGTTGGCGTCACCTAGCACGTGGTATTTTAGCGTGCGCACAGCTTACCAATAAGCCTTCGCATACCACCACGAGTTTCAGGAACTTTGTCGGCATCCTATTTCTATACACCCGGGAGGGAGGTAACTTCTTTGTCAATCACCACCAATTTTATTTCAACCGTGAGTGTAGTTCAGTTATCCATCACCATAGGTACACAAAGGCGTTGGGCATGTGGTATTGGCTGGTCCTCTCAATTTTTATCTCTTAAAGGTTTCAGTCGAAGAGGCTCGGGAAGATGAGGGCGTTCGCAATAAAACTTCACCCGGGCCCCTTCAATATAAAGAAGAACCCTACGCACACCAATGCCCATCACTAATCATTCATTACGTTTTGCCCTGAAGACAAGCCTTCGGAACAGGGTTGACTTCAGCCCGTGAAGTAGAGGCCTCTGACGTAGCGTAGCATGCCCAACGTGATGTGCTTGTCCACTGGAACTTCTGCTCTGATGCAACTCTGTGTCAAGATGAGAAGGCGGGAAGGAGAGGGGAGAGTGAAAAAAAACTAGATTTAATGTTCAAGCATCGGCATTCTATCATTATCAGTTTACTGTAAACTGTTCAACGAATCAGCTGAGCGATGTTTTGGATTATACGTTTCTTTTAACCTACGTCCGAGCTTTAAGAGCCATTGCAGCGGAGGGTTTCATGGAAGTCCGTGGCTCACAGTCGAGAGCGCGAATGTGGCATATTAGTTTTCACATGCACGCGCCCCATTTGCACGCCTTCTTGTAGAAGTTTATCCTGTAAATGTATGATGCGTGTTTTGAAATATACGCAGTATGAAACCAAAGCGTGCACTACCCCCCACGCACATGGTATACTATGCTGTACCAAACAAGGTCTCACTGTGCTCTGTCAGCTTACCTGGTTGGCTACGATGCGCCCTCTGAAACCGGGTATGCCCAGGTTCAAATCCCGCATGACCAAGTGTTTTTTTTTTAATTTTTACCAGGAATGCCTCTTTTTCTCATTTTATCTATTTCTTTCTTTGGCTTTCATTGCGTACCCATTCTCTCATGAGCACCTACCAGGGTTGTTGCGGGCTACAGCTTTCTGGGAGTGAAGCCGAAGTATATACGAAAACAATGAAGCGAGTGCATGCCAGTTCGTGAATATGGCCGTCTCTGCTCAAGCGTAGCAAACATATATGCTAGGTTCAAACAGCTCAGCTGTTGAATGAAATCAGAGAGCAATACGATTATTATATTCTATCAGTCCTCAAAACACAATGATGAAAATATTGGCAGTTTTGTAAAAGCCCACCAGCTTGCAATATAATATGCAACAGTAGGGAATACTAAACGATTGTACATTAAACCGAACCGCTAGCATGTAACTGAATATACACAAGATAGTTAGAGGTTTATTACGATACATGCACATTATCCTAAATGCGCGTGCTGTATCATGGTCACGGCATTAGCTTTTCGAAAGAGGCGGAATGCTAGATACACTAGCGATCCACCATTGTTTACTGTTTCATTATGCAGGGTTTTGGCACGTAAAACCCCAGGAACATAATTGTTGATAACGAAAGATACGAACAGAGCCTCCTGAAAATAGTTACAGCGTAACTACGGAATCTACAAACAAGGACAGAAAAGAGCGCTGAGTTTCAACGATGATTTATTAGCGGAGTGGTGTACATATATTGGTGAAAGAAAAAAAGAAGGAGCATGCGTACATGGAGGCAGTTAACAACCACTGCGATACAAAGTCAACAAAACTGTTGTCACTTGTTGATTGAGCTGGAAACAAGTACACAGTTTAAAAATGATCGTGATGTGCAATCTCTTTTTGCAATGGCGCAACTGATGGGGAGCTTACGCATGAACCGGGAAACTTACTCATGTGATACCCCTCAATTATCTCACGCGTGGCCTGCGAGCGGGCTTGTTTATTACCTCACAACGCTCAAAGAGGGGCATACAGCTGCAGTCACGGCTTTTCGGTCCTTGTTTAGTGCTTCTGTTGTTAAGCTGTAACTACTTCTATTGACTGCACTGTTCGTATATTCACAGTTATGTCCCACCAACGTGCCCAAGTTTGCACGCTTCATAAATGATTAAATAAGGAAAATTACTTAACCAGCAGAAATCGAAACGTCATGGGTTGGTTTATGAAGCGTTTGTATTGTGCTAACGAAACAGGCCTATTACCAAGTGAATTGTTAGTAACACTCATTAAAACAAATGCCGCGAAAACCGCAGGAACGGCGAAGCTTTAAGCATGCTAGACCTCTTGCATGAACATAATCATTCAGCATCATCACCAGCAGAATACTCTTTTCTTTTTTTCTTTTTTTCTGAGCCCTCTTTCATCTGATCACAAAACTTGCAATATCAATCACTACTACTATTACTACTACTACTACTACTACTACCACTACTACTACTACTACTACTACTACTACTACTACTACTACTACTACTACTACTGCTGTAATAAGAAAGGAAGAAGTTGATATGATGGGCTTAACTAACATCCCCACGAGACGAAGGCACAAGATCGGCGATCAAGTACCATCGTCTTGGTCCGCCCGCGTATTTTTTGAGCTACCATCCGCTTGCTCGGCTCGCCCAATAAACCTGCTTTACATTTATTTGGTGGATCGTGCTGGATACCACAGCATCTGCACCCTGGAACTGCGATACCACTTGCTGCCACCGGCCATGCAAGCCAACGTTCTCCAATAGGCACCACCTCTCGCGGCCGCCACCTACCCCAGCCCTGTTCATCAGCGACACCCCCTGATATCTGCGAGAGCGAAAGATCAGGAAGTAGATGACTGGCTGTCGTCTAACGAAAACGTTTGTGGACCTAACAGATGGGATGACGCTGCTAAGTAAGGCACCGTTAACGTTTACTTGGCTAATATGGTGAAGCTCTGTCGTCCCCAAACCACGAATCCGAGTATGAAAACTGGGCTGCTTTCAAGCACGCAATATCCTCTGTTTTCGGTCGCCCTGGTGTGCGTAAGTTGCGCGCCGAACAATGCCGGCATAAATGTGCACAGAAACCAGGCGAAACGTTAACCGCCTATACCGAGAACATCTCTGCAAACGCGTCGGTGCCGCAATAAGTGAAAGTGCCAAGATCCAGCACATTAGGAAGGGTGTCGATGACGGTGTGCTTCAAATGCTCCTTGCGAAGTTTTCTGGCAGTGTGTCAGAAGTGCTAACTGTGTGTCAGAGCAACGACGAATTGCGAAGGCAACGAGCGCTCACCCATCGTTCATTTCAGTCCAACCAACCGCTCGCTACACTGGACGTTGGTTGGTTAGTGGTTCGTGAGAAAAAAGAATAAGGCACCTAATTTCTGTCTGCCTACAGGCGACACGGCGCAGTGCCTAAACACTGTACGTCATGCCTGACCAGTCACGCCTTCTCGCACAAGTTAATAAATGTGTGCATGAGGAGGTCGCCCGTCAACTTTGTATCCTGCCGTTTGCTCAACGCCAAGAGCTCCTGCAGCAGCAGCAACTGCGGCGACTGATCCCGTTGGCTCCCATGTTCCGACATGTGACTCAGGACCGCACTGTCGACGCTATGCTGGTGCCATTTCAGAAGCACGTTGTCTCCGCGCCACTCACTCACACTGAGGCATTGAAGGGGCAACAGTTTCACATGCAAGCTCTCACCGTTCGATGGACTGTCGTCCTCTGCATGAGCTCCTCTTAAAGGGGTACTGACACAAAATTTTGGGGCTGAGATAGCCTGCGGGGTCAATTCTCGTGAACATTCGTATATCATCTGCAAGATATCAACAGCGAATATAGCTTGGAAGGTATTTTAAATTCTTTTTGAAGCTTGCGTAAGCGATTGACTCGATAGCGCTATAGACACCATCAGAGGGGACCCCGAAGTGACCCCCTACTTTCCTCACGCCACCACGCTACGGTCAACGAAACAAGTTTTGATGACGTCATAGCCACCATTTTTCTTTTGGTGCGTTAGTTCCCACAGTCTATATTTCTCAGCGGCTGGTTGCGAGTGCGTGGCCGTTTTGACGCACTCCCGAGTGCGTGGCCGTTTTGACGCACTCCCGAGTGCGGGAGTGCGTCAAAGTTTTGTGTGCTGACGTGAACAAGAACTGCGCACGCTAGGTGGCGACAGTTGCACTTAGTTTTTGGAACTCTCTCAATTTGAAACTGAAACTGATTGATAATGAGGGGCCTGAAATTATTTACCTGTCGCGTGCTGTAGCAAACAATGTGTTGTTCATGACTAACAGGCCCCTGCTACGCATTGCAGCAGAACAACGCGAGGCTAAGGTCCTTGTGTCAGTACCCCTTTAAGGCGCGTTTACACTAGGGAGACAAGACACCAATTTCGGTCTGCGGGCTGTCTTTAGGAGTGTCTTTTCTCTTGTCGTCGGCCTCTGTACATTGCAAAGACATAAGAAGTGCATCGGTGGTCTCTCGAGGGCCGCGCCCACGCCTTGTCCGGCTCACAGTCTTTATTTGGCCAATTGTGTAGTCACATTGGGGGCACACGCAGCGACACCGACTAAACTTGCACACCTGCACTCCATTTTCAGCCATGCTCGCTGCTATACCATTGTCCCTCTCTGGCTACGCAGCAGAGCCCCCGCCATAATCCATGGTAACGAGGGACGGGGTTGGGGATACGCAATAGGGTAGCGAAGAAAAGACTTCAGTTGGGTGCTCGAGCTGGCTATTCAGACGCCCCGGAAGCCTTGGTGAGGTCATTGTTAACTCCCCCAAAATTGCCCGCTTCGTGGTCATTTGAAGCAAGGTCATGGGGCAAATTTTCGCTCAGCCACCGATATCCCGAAGACACGCCGATGACAGGTCTGCGAATGCGTTTTGCTGGGGTTTTCGGTCTCTCATCATGTTACACTACGATGAAATGCTGTATTTTGAGGCATCGTCGGCCAAGTGTGACCATGGGGTTTGGCGACTTCGTCGGCGGGCGACTCGTCGGCCGATGGTTTGCGTCTGCCTCGTGTTTTCGTCGTGGTAATGTCAGTGTCGTGTCGCTCTAGTGTAAACGCGCCTTCGGCAGTACCACAGTCCCGACTCAGCCGTAGACTGCGTTGGCGGTGCCCCTCTCTGCGAATTCCCGGCGAACGCGCGATTACCTTCCGACCTGTTTTGCATGCGGTGGCCCTGGCGATATCACTCGATTGTGGCGTGAACGCGAGCCAGGCTACACAGACGCCCAGTCACAGAGCAATTACAAGGACTGACCCCCCTCTGTTACGGAAGTTCGGATTCACTCGACTATCCGGCAACTTCGTCTCGTGGGGATGACAGTTGAGCCCATCATAGCAAAGTTTTCCTTTCTTCATTATACTACTACTACTATTACGATGACGATAATGGCGCCCCAGGATAGACCGAGGCAACTTTGCTGTATAAGTTTCAGTATTTAAAATCCAAATGCCACTGCGTACCAGTGTCCAGTGGCTTTCCTGATTATGGGCCCAGTGTCACGCTGGGCATTAGATCTTAAAATGCCTCGAGAGCATTGAAGCAGTAGTCTCTACATGTGGTACACGAATGAATGAGTAACGAAAGCGAAACACATAAAAGCATTGTCACAATGTAGCTTCCTTGGTGGCAAGAGCACGCCTTCACCAAGGCAAGCACGCACTCCCTTTGTTTTCAAACGTAATGAAGTACTTTCTAAGGAAAATGATATATAAATATTAGTACATGTTAACAAAAAAAAAAAACTCCCACGTACAGATCTTTTGGTACAGTTTTATGTTGTTGAGAAAATATTTTCCTTTCCTCATTTTTTTCACGTGGTGTCTCATTGAAAGTTTATAGCTGCAGTGCAATCATCCACCACTTCAAATTGGTTTGTATCATTGACTTCAATTGGGGTCCTTACAAGAAAGCACCCAACAGGAATCATCACTGCTACGGAATCAACACTGAATGGAGAACGACCACTGGAGTCTCACTGAGCGCGCCTATTTCTTGTCGTTTAGCAGCAGACCATGCAAAACAAACTGAATATTTCAACAATACATTCATGTACGCTGACGCGGCATACACGTGCGCACGCTTTGAGACAAGTTACAGCATAAGACAGGTCCAAGAGAGAACCGTGAGAGTCACCTCTATTAGCGTGAACATTCTGTCCACTTCTTCCACGGGCATACCCAAGGCCTCCTGCGTACGAAAGTGCAATAAATGTGAGGATGAATAACTGGGCGCCTTGTTACCGGGTGATCAGAGCTTTTGGAGGTAAAAGGCGCAATGATTATACCCCTCTGGCCCTGAGGGTTCAATAAAATAAACAATGAATAAAAAAGAAGTCCTGTATGTGCATCTCTCCCATTTCGTCCACCATCTTCTTTGTGACTTTTGCCTCAAATCATGCACTACAAAGAATCTTGCAGTCAGCGTTAATAATCGACACCAATAGGGAGAGGACGACATAAAAACATTCCCCCCCCCCCCGCACACCCCCGCCAAAAAGCACTAGTGCATGCCCTCCCACTCATGCCACACTATAGCGTGCGCGGTTGCATAAACAAACATAGCTTACCGGAAAACATGAAGCCAGGAAAACTACGTAAGCTCTTCCGCATTTCAAGAGGTTCGATTGTATTGTCTCCTGCATTGAAAAGAACTTTCTTTAGAATGAGGTAGAAGAAGACGTCAAAACTTCGTTACTGCATATTCGCGCTCGGCATTCTAGAGCGCTCGCCATCGTGGATGGTCGCATTCGCAGTCCTTATTCGCAGCCTTCATGAATGATGCACGATCACGTGCAGTGAGTTAGAACAATGCGCAAGAAATGCAATGACACTTCAATCAATCAATGGCCACCGATCAGTGGCCACAGTCGCGATGTACGCGACGGTGGCCATTCGCTTGACGTGACATTATATTATCTAAGAAGGCGAGAAACCCGTATCGCGTCCCCTGAGGAATGTGAACTCGAGTATCGCGTCCAAGTAAGCTTGCTAACCGTTAGATGGTAAAGATATAAAAGTGAGACATGTACAATGGCAAGCAGTTATGAGGGCAGCCGCAAGCATTCCTTTAGCGGAGTACCACATGTACCCAATTCTATTCATTGCACTATAGTTACAATGTTTTAACTGTTTGTTATCAATGTTTTAGGGGACAGATCAGTACACTGCGGCAAAAGCTTGTTGATTGACTAGAACAGAATTTCTTTTACCTTGGCGCAATAATATAAAGATGACATAGTCTTTCGCACTTTAACAAATGACTATACTTTTATATTGCCGCGAGCGCTTTCTGTTGGCGCTGTATCTTGCTGTATTCGCTTCACACCTACAAAGAGTCTCAGCGCGAACCGTAACTTGGCGTTCCAGAAGCTTCTTCATTGTAGTAGATTGTTTTGTGAAGATTACGCGCTCAACGCGAACATTACAGACTCTTGTGGAACTCGCGTGGCCGCTAGCAATAACGATGGAACATGCAGTGGCACATGTACAAAAGCCGACGCGTGCCGCTGTTTGTCGGTTGATCGACTGCCGCCGTTCTGTTCGCCGCTATCAGAACCAGTGTGTATCGCCGTAACCTGACTTTCGGTTCACCGGCCACAGGTTCGGCAAAATAAACAGCTTTATTTTGGACAAGCCATTTTCGTCAGCGTCACGACGCCGTGACATCTGGTAGAGGTCACGCTTCTTCGTCTCGACGGTCTTCAGACGTTTCTAGCTTACACAACCCCGAAGTTTTGCTACAAAGTGGTGGAGGTTGCTCGGTAGCAATTTCGCCGCTCTAAAATTATGCCACCAGTCAATAGCAAGCATCAGGAAACAACCTTGGGCTACTCTACAATGACGGAACCCCCTACCTTTCTCTCCGCTATGTCTACCCCCCAAGCAAGACCTTTTGTGGGACATTCAGTTTTGGAAGGCGTGCCAGAGGAATCTATTTCTGAGTGGCTACTTTGCTACGATCATGTTGCGTCACGGAACAATTGGGACGAATTCACGAAAGTTAAATTTTTATATTTGGCCTTAGACGGTGATGCGAAAAAGTGGCACACTACCCAAGTTCTAATGGGTGCCCCTAGTTCATGGGAAGAGTGGGTGACGCTCTTGAGGACGTCGTTCAACAGTCGGCACTCGATTGAGATCGCCCATTTGCGGCTACAAAACCGGAGCCAACTGCCGTCTGAAACCCCCGAGCACTATTATTATGATGTTGTTAAACTTAGTGCTAGGGTAAACTCATCGATGACAGAGGAAGATCGGTTGCAGCGCCTTTTGCGTGGTTTGCGCCCGGACATTCAAGAAAAAATGAGAATTGCAAACCCGAAAACCTGCGCTGCTTTCCTTCAATTTTTGCAGCGCATTAATCAGGCATCTTTAATGAGTCGTGCTTCAGGGCCCCAGCCAATTGGTACGTACTATTCTACCGGGATGCGGTCATGGACGCAAAACATCGCGCCACCAGTTGGAATAGCACCCGCCGCAGCAACAATACAGCCCCCTCCGTGTGTCGCCAGCTGCACCGCGGCCGAGTTGCGTTGTCCACGGGAGGCTCCTGACCGCGAAAAAGACCTGAAGGCGATCGAAGACGAGATGCACCGCCCCCAATTGCCTTGGCCCCCTAGAACTTCCCACGCCAACGATGGGCATCCGAGATCTCAGATTTGCTCGCGCATTGGCGACATAGCGCTGCAATGCTGGAACTGATTTGAAGGCTGCGGAAACAACCATGAAGAGCCTTTTGAGAACCAGAATGGACAGCATAACTCTTCGGTAAACGAGAACGGCCGGGTTTAGGGGGACAGCCCGGCCGCCCAATCGCCACATTGTGTGAAAGTCGGCTGATCACAGCCCCAGTTGTGCGTCAGTTTGAGCGGGCTAATGCCGCCACGCTTTCCCGCCTTCCCCATGATCCCGCGCGCCTGTAAGCGAAGAAACCCCCTTAGCGTTGCTGGTTCTCGATCATGGGAGTTTTGCAAAAAAGCAGAGAGAGGACTCGTGCTTGAGAGGCATCATGCAACACCATGAAGAGCCAGGCACTCCTGTTGTCAGAAAAATTAAAAGAACGGCACGGAGCTTTTGGCTGGTCGACAATGTATTCCATCGAAAAGCGCAGGGGTTTCAGTATTGCACGCTACTCGTTATTCCTCACAGCTTGAGAACCGAGGTTATAAGACACACTCTCATGAAGACATAATGGCAGGTCACCTCGGACTCCGGCGAACTTGGGAGAAAGTTAGGAGGCGCTACTTTTAGCCGGATATGTTAGCGCATGTACGCAGTTACGTAGCGTCCTGCCCGGAGTGCCAGACGACCAAACCGGAACCCGGTGCCCCTTCGTTTTCCTCTTTGAACGGCAGCAAACAGCTTTTGTCCATTGACGCGAGTCGCCACTCTCAATGCGGGGACGAGACAGTGCCACACCGGCTCAACAAAGCGCGAAAAGATAAACGTAAAAAAACTGCGAGCAAAAAATAAGAAGGCCTACGAGGCCAAACGACGCAGTGAGGTCCGTCACGAGGGGGACTTGTTGTACGTGTGGACCCCCCCCTCCCCACGCGCAAGGAGAAAGACAACAAAGCCTTATGGCAGCGACAACAGACCTTGCTGTCTTCTGCACCGCGTAGGCGAAAACGTCTGCCAGATGTTACCCCAAGATGAGCAAGAACGCCGCGTTCTTAATATTAGGCACGCGTGCCTAGGAAAAGTACAGCCAATCGATGTACTTATCGCCGCGCGCGCAACCTCTTCTCTACCCCTTGTCCCTTTCGGCTCATCCCGTTCTCCGTCGCTGTTCCTGAACGATGATTGGCCTCCTTCGCAGTGGCCCGTGGAGATGCGCGACTCCCAACCAAGTGGCTTTGAAAGAGGAAAAAGGAAAAAAAATTGCAGACTCGTTACTGCCTCTCTTAAACGAGGGCACCTCCACAGTTAAGCGCAGGGAAAGGGGGATGGGAATGAAAGAGACAGAAGAGACGAGATAAGAGTAGAGTGGTGGAAAGCATTTGCACCGAATCAAATGGCGTGCGTCCGAAACCGCTGCGATGATCCGCAACCGTCAGGAAAAGCCGCCGGGAAGGCCGGAGAATTAATTCACCAAAAATGAAGAGAATGAGCCTAAGATGCGCATAAAATGATGGGCGAACACCAGTGGCGTAACTAGATAGGACGGCGCCCAGGGCAAATATATTTCCGCGCCCCTCATTATGCCCGTGATAATGTTTGTTATTATTATTATTATTATTAATAATAATAATAATATTATTATTATTATTATTAATAATAATAATATTATTATTAATAATAATTATTACTACAGCTCCTATTAATAATAATATTATTATTATTAATAATAATAATATTATTATTAATAATAATTATTACTACAGCCCCCCCCCCCATTAAAAGCGCTAATGTAGGCTTCCGCGATTGCCTACTGGCGCGCGGCGGGCCATTTCGGAGGCCAAGGGCCACCAGTTCTGATTTCGATGAGCTACGCCCGCGTTTTTGTATAGTATTTTTCTTTTTTTATTCAAACTTCCGGAAGTCCCTTACCCGTCATTGTTCTCTTCCAGTCCACACTGCAAAAATCTTGACGGCACGGGCGCTTCCCAGGCCCAAGTTTCTCGTACCTAAGCTTTCGCGCTATTTGTGCATCCCAAGGAATGCAGGGTGAGTACAAAACAAAGCAACCAGCTAGACACCGCGCCCTCGGGTCTGGTATGGGGGTTAAACTGGTCGGAGTGTTCTGCCGTTTCGCTCCGTTCGCTGTTCCATTGATGGAGGTCATCCTTGTGCGGCCGCATTCTTTCAGGGAAGTTCTTGGTTTCTCCAACGTACGAAGCGGGGCAGTCGGCACATGCTGTCGGGTACACTACGCTCTGCGCTTTTTTCGCAGGTGCGTGTTCTTTGGGCCAAAGGATGAACCTGCCCATGGCGGTGGATGGCATGTGGGAAACGTTGACCCCCGCCCTTCTATTGCTTTGCTGGCGCCCGCGATGCAGGGAATCAACAAACGTCGCCGTCGTGTCACGCTTTCTCCGTCTTTCCTCCAGAGAACTCTGCGAATAAACGCCTTTGTTTAGCCTTTGGTGCCGAGGTCACGGATTATATTCGCCCTTCCTTCCGCCGCTGCGTGGACGATTAGTCGTTGGACGATCGGCTATTTCGTTGGAGTTTTCTGTTCTTACTCAAAAAAGGTGCATTCGAACTTTTTTATTTTATTTTGTTTACGTACGTGGTTGGTTTCAGGGAAGCTTTCAGTAAGTGGTTTGGGAGGCTGGTGGGGTTCGCTGAAACTCATCTAACCCAGTGCTGCGGAGCACAAAACAAAGCTTAGCCGAGGGTCATGGGAAGGCACGGAGGTAGCGCAGCAAAATGAAAATAGAGGATCCTTTTCCCGATGCAAAAGCCATTGCGGCAACCCTTTCCTTCACCACCATCCCCACTTCCAGTCGTACATTACAACCTCGCCCCTCCCCCCTTCCAGGCGGTTTTACGGAAAAAAACATTGACAACCTTTCCAGGGGGCGCCAACCCGAGGACTCGGCTTGGCGCCCCCTCCCTAGTGGCGCCCGGGGCACTTGTACCCCCTTGCCCCCCCCTAGTTACGCCACTGGCGAACACACTCGCGTGTCCACAAAGCGC